CACACACACACACACAGAGAGAGAGAGAGAGAGAGAGAGAGAGAGAGAGAGAGAGAGAGAGAGAGAGAGAGATGTTATGTGTTTGATTGATTCACAACTAACTCGCATTCAACTGTTCCCATACGCATCTGCAATGTCAGGGAGACTGGAGAGAGAAGATTCACTCCATTGCTACGGAGAGACATTGCACAGCGGTATCCGAAGGCAGATTAAAATTTGAGAGAAAAATGTTCCTGTGATGACCTGACCAAACACGGACTGAGGCACACAGCTGATTTCCGAGTTTTGCCCATGGACTGAAGGCCTTGCTCAGTTTCCCGCTTGCTTCTAAGTTCTCTAAGTCCGTGTATGTGCACACTTGCTGGTGTGCATGTCAGTCTGAGTGCTTGATGGCTTGAGTGTGTGTGTGACCCGCAAGGGCACTTGTTCATTCATTGGGCCCTCGGGGCCGGTACTTACCGTGACATTGAGGATTGCAGCGGGGAAAGCACTGAAGTAGCAGGTAGGCCGGTATCACACCCTGAAGAGGTAGATGTGCTGGGTACTAGAGGCCGAGCAGAAGAAGACAAAAGTGGCATTTTTAGAGGCCCAGTAGTTGTAGGCTAGGTCCAGGCGGGTACCAGTCCAACCAGGCTGAGTCTAGGGACTGTACGAGCAATATCAGAGTCTACAATGATGGTTCCCTCCAAAAGGGAGGAGGTACCAGTCGCTTCGAAGGCCGTGCGACCTGGAAGTCACCGCCCAAGAGGCAAGCAGACCGCTATGTCTCCAGGCCGGGCGAAGAGCCCAGCCTCATTGTCGGTGTGCAAGTTTGGCGACACACTGGTTGGAGCGCTGGCTGGAGCAGCGCTGCTGGGTAAGGAGCAAGGACACGGAGGAGGAAGAAGGCCAGGGCTAGGGAGGAGCACCAGAGGTACTTACCTGGCTATGGTGGCAGCCACCTTCATCACCTTGGTGGGCGCTGCAGCAGGAAGGCCCCAGCTGGGGGTAGAGCCACACCAAGAAGCTTCGAGGCAGAGCTAGGCAAGGCGGCCTGAGCTAGAGCAGCCATATCTGCTTTGCGTTGTCCTTTGGACATCAGGGCCAGGCCCGACTAGTCAGCCATAGCCTCGGCCTATGAGAGTGAAGAGTGAGGGAGGCGGCCATGGCTATGGTGGACCTCAAGTGATTTTTTGCAGTGGAAGAGGGATTCAGACTTTGATTCTGGTTCGGCCATTCAACGTTGTAATTTAATTTCTTGTGTGAATAAGAGAGGAGGAGATAAGGAGGAGGAGAGTGATTGGCGAAGAAGAAGAGCTTTCTCATTTGTTTATGCTGGTGTACAACATCTTCTTCTTCTTTCTTTCTCTTCTTCATCTCCTAACCCTCTATCTCCTCTCAAGTTTTGCAAGTGGATGGCAGTGTACTATCTGATGAATGTGTATCTTGAAATCGGCCAGGATCATAACATTGCAATCAATTGTTTATTACACCCCCTGTTCTCCCCCTGTCAACCGAACAACTCCAAGAATCTCAATTACGAAATCTGTTCCACCTCCAATTAACCTGACAATACACTTCAACGCGAAGCTCACTGAAACTTCCTTTTCTCCCTACGACCCCCAGGCTCGAATGATAGCTCACTGTTGAAAACAGCATCTCACCATTCCCCGAGCCTGTTAGTAGAGACACTGATCTGGCATGAGCCAGATGCCATGTCGCAGCGCCGCAAACCATTGTGAAGAAGAACGTGAGCCTCGATAAAGAAGATGATGGCTGCCCTTGTATGGCAGCAACTATCAAGACGTAAGCTGCTCAAGGAAGAAAGCGGCTGTTCTTCAACCCGACAAACAGCAACGTGATGGCAGTGGCATCGGCACCTGGAAGACCTCCTACAGGTGGTGCCTCCTCAAGCAGCAGGGCGCCCCAGCTATGGTTACCCAAGTTCCCCTTCGAAGAGGAAAAAGACTGAGTGCTGGAAATAGTGCTGCTCATGTACTCCCGTCGCCACAAAAAACAGAAAAGAACCTCAAACTTGTTGGCCTCTCCCCACTTGTACCCGATTTCCCTAGATCTCCAACACAGCAGTCACCTACAAACCTATCTAACCGTCGAAACAGAAAACATTTTTGCCAAACAGTCAAGATCTGCTTACATGCATCTGGATGGATATCAAGACTACGGGGACTCAAGACTAGGACACAAACGAGAGACCTATGGGCCTACCAGTTTCCAGAAGAGCAGAAAAGGACAATACAGCAAGACCTGAAGGGTTTAAGACTGCCAGATAGAGACTACCAGTGACAGGTTCACGGATCAAGCGCAGTAGGACTCAAAGCTAGTAAGCAACACATACAAACTGTAGGTCACGGGATCAAGTCCCGAAGGGCTCAGAATAGGGAAACCGCAGACAAACTTAGTGTACAGCTCGCATGAGCAACTGCAATTTATTGCGGAGAGATGGAAGGTGGAAGGGCGGAGTTTGGCTGCTATTTGTTTTTTCATTTACTCTGTTGTTCTTTGTTTTGTGTTTGTGTSTATTTGTGTGTGTGWGTGTGTGTGTGTGTGTGTGTGTGTGKGTGTGTGTGTGKGTGKGTGKGTGWGWGWGRGWGKGAGAGAGAGAGAGAGAGAGAGAGATGGGGGAGGTGGAAGGGTTAAAGGTGTGCTATGTGGCCCGATCTTTCTTGCAGTTCATGTATCAGGAGTCGTGCGTGTGTGGAATGTCTACATGCAAACAGTAGCAACTACACCCTTGACCGATCTCTCGCACTGGCGAAGCAGTTCCCTTATTTGGTTTCTTTACCTGCCCATGGTAATGATGAATGGCATTTCATATGACTATTTTGTGAGGGGGGCAACATTGCAGGAAAGAGACCTAACCCAGTCGTCAACCAGTTATGAACCTAGGTATGCCGACGAGGGTAGGGGATTTTGCATTGGGTGTCACTTAATGTGTGTGGAATCAATCAGTAGGAGAAGGGTAGCGAAGGGGGACTTATTCTGCTTACTAGAAGAGCTTGTGGTAGATGGCTGTGAGCTTACCTGCTTGTGACCTCCTCCTCTGAATTTCGGCTTCCTCTCTTTGGGCAAATAGCTCCTACCGTGACTTATATATCTGACAGGATTCGAGCCTCTTGGTCACTGTATCAAGAAGAGTTACATCTATATGCCACTCATCTACCAGGCAGGTGCAAGTTCTCTTTTCGCCCTTCATTGAAATGTTGAAATGTTTTCTTGAACTCCCGCGCTTTTCAGGAGTCGAATTTACGATCTGCCATTATGTTGGAGCAAGCAGGGTATTGCTTTTTGAGGACCTCTCCTCCTATGCCAAGGAAGTACGGCTTTCACCTAGTTCTTGCAGGACATCAGTACTCAAAGAGCACGCAGGTGAGACAATTCTCATTCTATTGACTCGTCAAACTTGCCCTTCCAACCTCTTGCTTTGCAGTTTCACCTCATGAACCCATAGAGGAAACATTGGTGCCATGCATGTGGTCTGACTCATGGTTCCAAACTGACAACGTATGTGTGCCCTTGGTTTGGTCCCATCGCCTCTATGGGCCCACAGAAAACCGTCCATGGGTTGATACCTTCCCCCCCCCCCCCCCCCCCCCAACGAGACAAATTGATCTACACAAACCAGCCATGAGTTGGTCCCAACCCCCTCATGGGTCCACACAGAACTATCCATGGGTTGGCCCCAACGTCCCCCTTGACCCACAGAAAAACATCCAGGAGTTGGTGCCAGCTCAACATGAGGTAAAAAAAAAAACATCAAATGAAACGAACCCATAAGCGCACAGAGACGGGACGTGTGCAATGACTTGCTGGTTTCTGGTCGTCTGTAGCCTCTCTCTTGTCGAGGCTGTACCATCTGCAGGTTAGATTCGTAATTTTGTTTGGCTGAGGGCTAACCAAGTGACCTGCCTGTAAGGAAATTCGTTAGGGACATATCTGCAAATTTGAGGAAATATAGGCCTGTACTAACTAGAATTCCTACAGCTACCCTAATTGTGAATAGCAGGTCCGAGCTACCCCTAGGACAGACAGGCCCTACGGGCCTAAGCTGATAGACGGTCCTATGGCCTATAGCCGGGTTGGGAGAGGCCCTAGAGGCCAGAACGGAAACGGTACCGGTCGGTCAGTCAGTCCGGTCTAGGTCGAGTCTAGGCTAGAGCAGACCAGATAGGTTAGGCACATCGGTTCAGGGCTTTTGACAGTTGGTACCGAGTACATCGGGGCTGTGCTACGCGTGAACCAGAGGTGGTGACGACTCAGCGTGGAGGTATACAGACATGGCCAGACCTTCGGGGCGCCGGCCATAGTTGGGACCTGCGCTGTACTCTGACAGCACGCAGGGCTGTACAGAGGTCTGGGCTACTCAAGGTCTGCTGGAGGCGAGAGAAGGTGGTGCCCTGCTGGACCCTCCTCCGGAGTAGGGTTACAGGGTTGTGGCGTTGCAGCCGTAGCTGGAGCTCCTTCCTTAGAGGTCATCTTGTCAGGAGTGGTGGCGCTGCTGCAGACTTCCACCCGGGAAGTCTTCCGACACTTCGTCATCATCAGAAACTGTGGCGCTGGTCTTCTTCTTCATCCTCTGAGTGGCGCTTGGCCTCAGAGGCCTGATGTTTCATGGACTAAGGGGTGGTGATAGCGGTTCATCAGGATTGGGGAGTGAAGCGCTGCTCATTTCTGAGTAGCGCACCATAGTATTGGGGTTATTCAGACAATTCGAGACTCTGAGTTTAATAAACAGTGTTGATACTGTGTCCAGAATACCATCGTGTCATTGTTTCTTGGATGTGATCTACTCAACTTTCCTTTATGACAGGTTGTGAGGATTGAGTGGAGTGAATTGCACGTTCAATGTATCCTCTCCCCTTCCTTCTGTGTATGTAAGGGTATACCTGGGAGTTTATGTGAGTGAGTGTTGGTCTTCGGACAACAGACAACCAGAATCATAACAGTTGGTATCGGAGCAATTGGATCCAGGCTCAGGAGCGATTGATGAGTTGGAGCAATCATCATCATCTGGCGAGATTTTGGAGTTGAGTTTCATGGCGATTCGTCATCTTCAGGGTTGTTGTCAGTAAGGTTGGTGGTGGTGGTGAGTGTGTGGCGAGTAGAATTGGACAGAGGGTGACTCATCCGTGCGTAGGTTTGTGCAGGAATGGTTGGCGATTGATGCTCAGAGGCCTGTGAGGCTATTTTTAGCCTGGCGATTCATCGAGAGGCTGATGATTGGCAAAGAGCTGATCCCAGGAGGTTGCGATTTTGGAATTGGGTCAGGATCCCCAATTTCCAAGCAGCGCTGTACAGGGTGAAGTGGCGCTGCACTGAGATACTCAGTTATCACCATATGGCATTCCGAATTCTATGTTTTTGTCAGTTGAGGGTGAAGCGCCTCAGGGTAATCTGCTGGATCAGCAAGTTTCATGAAGATTGGTACGTGGGAACACTGGGAATGATGAGGGTATGAAACTGGCGAGATGGGGTTGACCAGACAACCATAGCGATAGTTTCATTCACCTTCTTCATAGATAACCTTGACTTTACTCTGTGTGGCGATTTTGGGACTATTTTTAGATTAGCGAAATATGGTTTTTCAGTCAGTTAACAGTTGAAAATCGAAATTCAGACTGTGGGACAGCCATAGCCAATTTCCCCTACCTATCTTCTTTGACTTCTACTAACCCTATTTGACCTCCTCTCTGACTCAAATTTCATTTGTGACTGCTTCACAGTTTTGGGATTCATACTGTGTAGTGACTTGGTGAGGTCAGGGTCCTAATGTCAGTGATAATGCAAATTTGAATTCTGCGCTGCCATAAATGAAGCTTTGCTAGACTAGGGTTAGTCATATCGTCAATTTTGTCAGTCAGAGTTCAATTATGTCAGTCCCTGGTAAATCGCAATTTAGTATACAGTGATTGTCTGAAATCGCACATTCAGATTTGATGTTATATGAGTCAGATACAGTAAGAACTACAATTCACCATACCCAGGGTATGGCATACAGTGTCATACAGTGGTGAAGTCTGCAAGGTAGGTCTAAATATAGGGTATCCTATAAATCACTACATCTTGGTCATCAGTGGACACTTGTCTATCCCTGATTAGTCACTTTGTCTAATTACTAATCAACACTAACCAGTCCAAGACTGCATCCTGTAAATTATTAATGCAGGATTTGCATTTATAGCGTGCGATTGTTGGTTCAGGGCAGTGATGGGAAAATCGTGACCCTCACTTGCCCTGACTAACAAACTTTCTCTCTCCAGGCAGGTGATAGCAACTGAGTAAGTACTGAAGGGAAAACTCAATTCCTATTACCTCCTGTTTGTCTTGTGGTTATTTCTTTATTTTTATTTATCCTAATTGTGGAGATGGCAGATGCTGGGAAGGGAGAGGCTTCTGAGGTGAAGCCTCGAATGCCGCTCGACCCTTTAGAGGCTGAACTGAGTGTCCAGGAGGAGAAACTCCGCCAGCAGGCAGAGGCAGTTGAGGCTCTAAAGGCTGAGCTTAAAAGAAAAGAAGAAGCAGGTCAGAAGGAGGCCAGGAGAAAATTGTTGATTTCTAACGTTGAGAAGGTCAGGACGAGTGGTACTTCCGGCCAGTACAATAAGGACATGGCTGAGTTCATCCTCTTGCAGGATGACATTCACCGTTCTTATTTTACTAACTGGGACGAGAGGATCACCAATTTGGAGAGCAACCACTCAACTTTTTCTAAGAAGCTGGATGACATCTCTTCCAAACTGGATCTGATCTTTACACATTTGAAGATCCCAACCACCTTGACCGTTCCTCCATCTTATGGGCCTTCCCAAGCCGACCCTCAACAACCTCCACAATCCAGACCCACATCTCCACCCAAGTCAACAGCCGCCTCACATCCCTCATTACCTTTTGACATGCAGCGGCCCAAGCTGACCCCTCCACCTATGTTCTCTGGTGAGGACCCGGAGGTGGATGTTGCACAGCGAACCTACCTGAGTGGGTTCAAGTGCGAAGAGGATGTTAAGGTGAGTGCCATCCTTGCCTGCCTGGAGAGGATTGCACTGAAATGGTGCACCTCTACCTCTGGCAAGCAAGATATGGAAATGCCTGACTGGGCGCAGAGGCTGGGGGTGGCTGGTTTTCTTCAGGCACTGCAAGACCGGTTTGCAGACAAGGAGCAGGCAAGGAAAGCAGCAGACAAAATTATGCGCCCTGGCCAAAGAATATTTGATAGCTCCTTGCCCAAACTGTATTTCACCTTTGAGAGTCTTACACTGACTCCTGGGTTGGAGATGAGCGAGCAGGATCTGCTCATTCATTTCCTTAGAGCAGGGCCTGAGCAATACCAGCTTGCTCTATTCTCTCAGGGCCACAAGGACTGGTGGTCCTTTGGCAGAGCAGCCCTGCACTTGCGCAGTCGAAGGAGGAAGGGTGCCCTGTTTGCTGCTGCAGCTTCGATTTCAGATAGTGACGCAGCATCCTAGGGTGGGATTCCTCTATCTGGACTGCTTCATCATCTGCTGCAGATCGTGCTGTTCTTGCCCTGGCTGATGCTTTGATGGGCATGGCAAGGGGCAAAGCCCCTGCCTAAAAGGCATCAACCAGCAGCAAGGGGAAAGGTAAGGGACGTGCCTCATCCCCTAGTGCTCAGAGAGTTCCATTACCACGAGACGTTCGTTGGCCAGCCGACCCCCTTGATCTTTCCACCTTCCCCTGGCATGCACTTAGGATCCAGGAGGGGGTCTGGAGGAAGAGAAAGGACAAGGGTGTCTGCCTGAGGTGCGAGGGGGATAATTTTCTAAAGGATTGTCACAGCATGCCTCACAGGTCCACAGGCTGCTCTAGTTCAAAAAACAAGAGCAGAGAGAGGTGGAAGCAACAACTCCTTCCACCAGTGCTGATTCACTTTCTGATGAAGGTGAATCTTCACGTTCTCTTGCTGGTTCTATTTTTGGAGTTGCATCCACAGGGTCCTTCTCTTATGAGGACACCGAGTTGGATGAGACGTGGGAGGAGGATGATGCTCAGTGCCTTGCTGATCTTTTCCTGTCCTTGTCGGAGAAGAAAAAGCAGAGGTCAGAAGTTATCCTGCTTCGGCCCTCTATAATGGGAGCCAAGATCAAAGGGCTCTTGGACTGTGGGGCTACTCGCAACTTCATATCTCTCAAGGCAGTCAGCAAGTTGCACTTGGACCAAAGACTTGTGAAATTGCGACAGTCTATAGAGGTTCACATTGGTGATTCCTCCACAGTCAGGATCACTACTGTTGTCAAGGGCCTACATGTGACCTTTGACAAGCAGGGAGAAATCAGGCATTGCCTGAATTTCTCTGTGTTTCCTAATGTTCCCTTTCACCTTGTGTTCTCTATGCAGTGGCTTGGTGTCACCAATCCTAGGATCGACTGGCGGATCCCTAGGGTTGAGCTACCTGACTGGCATGGGGTATATCGCCCTTGTTTGCTCGTTGATGAGTACCATCCGACCAGCAACTATTATTGTATGCGTGCTCGTTGTTTCATGAGTCTATCACGCCAGACTGATCACACCCGTCTATTCGTGGCTTTTGTCAAGCAGACTGATGTGGAGACTGCTCCCTGTCCCTCTCAGATTCAGCAGGTCGTTGACCAGTTCTCAGATCTTATGGAGGAGCCTGCTAGACTTGTCCATAGGAAGACCAAACATAAGATTGAGATCCTGCCTTGGTTCGATCCCTCCAAAGGGCTGAGTCTACAGGATGTCGCCTGCAGAACTTGATGAGCTCAAGAAACAGTTGGAGACCTTGACCAGCAAAGGCTGGATCCGGCCCAACACATCTGAGTTCGGAGCACCAGTCCTCTTTGTTCCAAAGGGGAATGGTGAGTTCAGGATGTGCGTGGACTATAGGGGTCTCAACAAAATCACGAGGAAGTCTACAAAGCCTCTTCCTCTCATTGATGATTTGTTGGATATGGTGCAGGGCTGTACCATTTTTAGCAAGATCGATCTCAAATCTGGCTATCACCCAATTGAGATGGTTGAAGGTGATGTCCACAAGACAACCTTCAAGACCAGGTATGGCACTTATGAGTACTTGGTCATTTCATTTGGTCTTTGCAATGCCCCAGGCACCTTCCAGACAGAGATGCATCGCATACTAAGGCCTTACATGGACAGGTTCATAGTTGTCTACTTGGATGATATCTTGGTATTCAGTCGTTCTATCCAGGAGCATGCACAGCATCTGGCTCTGGTCCTCCAGGCCTTACGTGATACTCAGTATAAGATTAACAGTGAGAAGTCCTATTTTGGGGTTCCCTCTGTGATCTATCTGGGACATGTTATTTCTAGAGAGGGGTTGGCTTCTGAAGCAACGAAAGTTGTTGCTGTTCAGGACTGACCAAAGCCTGTTAACATTCGTGATGTTCGTTCTTTCTTGGGTCTTGCATCCTATTATAGGAAGTTCATCAAGAACTTCTCTTCTATTGCAACACCCCTAACTGACCTCACAAAGAAAGACACTTCCTTTCTTTGGACATCAGAGTGTTAGGAAGCTTTCACACGTCTCAAGGAGGCCTTGATTCGTGCCCCTATTTTGAAGTTACTTGACCCGACTTTGCCTTTTGTGCTTACCACTGATGCTAGTCAGTATGGTGTGGGGGCGGTACTTCAACAGGATGATGGGAATGGTCTGCAGCCTGTCGAGTATATGAACAAGAAGATCAAAACAAAGAAGCTGCAGGACTCTACCTATGAGAAAGAGCTTTTATGCTCTTATGTCAACGCTCAAGCATTGGAAACATTTCCTCCTGGGCAGGCACTTCAAAATCTTTTCAGATCACTCCACCCTTCAGTGGATTGTCATGAGAAGAGGATATTTAGCCAAAGCTGCTGCCACGATACATGGGTCCATGGCAGGTCTTAGATACAGTGGGAGTTGATCCTTTGGACCATCCCATATAGTGGATGTCCCTCTGCATCTACAAACTTACCCTAAATCCCTGGCAAGGGATATGAAGTGGAATCAATTGAGGACCGCTGGTTTACTCGCAAAGAATTTCTGAAAACTGCAAAGTCAGTTGTCTCTTCGACGCTCTGCACGCCTATGCCCCTAGCTCAGAGGTCCTCGCTCCGGGTGAGGGTTGGTCTGCAATGACTTGCTGGTTTCTGGTCGTCTGTAGCCTCGAGGCTGTACCATCTGCAGGTTAGATTCGTAATTTTGTTTGGCTGAGGGCTAACCGAGTGACCTGCCTGTAAGGAAATTCGTTAGGGACATATCTGCAAATTTGGGGAAATATAGGCCTGTACTAACTATAATTCCTACAGCTACCCTAGCTGCGAATAGCAGGCCCGGGCTACCCCTAGGACAGACAGGCCCTAGGGGCCTAAGCTGATAGACGGTCCTATGGCCCATAGCCGGGTTGGGAAAGGCCCTGGATTCCGAAATGGAAACGGTACAGGTCGGTCAGTCAGTCCGGTCTCGGTCGAGTCTAGGCTAGAGCAGACAATAGATAGGTTAGGCACATCGGTTCAGGGCTTTTGGCAGTTGGCACCGAGTACATCGGGGCTGTGCACCGCGTGAACCGGAGGTGGTGACGGCTCAGCGTGGAGGGGGACAGACATAGCCAGACGTTTGGAGCGCCGACCATAGCTGGGACCTGCGCTGTACTCTGACAGCACGCGGGGCTGTACAGAGGTCTGGGCTACTCGAGGTCTGGGCTACTTGAGGTCTGCTGGAGGTGAGAGAAGGTGGTGCCCTGCTGGACCCTCCTCCGGAGTAGGGTTACGGGGTTGTGGCGCTGCAGCCATAGCTGCAGTTCCTTCCTCAGAGGTCATCTTGTCAGGAGTGGTGGCGCTTCTGCAGACTTCCACCCGGGAAGTCTTCTGACACTTCGTCATCATCAGATACTGTGGCGCTGGTCTTCTTCTTCATCCTCTGAGTGGCGCTTGGCCTCAGAGGCCTGTTTCAGGGTAGCGCTTCCCTCTGGAGGTGGTAAATGGGTGGCGCTTGATGTTTCAGGGACTCAGGGGTGGTGATAGCGGTTCATCAGGGTTGGGGAGTGAAGCGCTGCTCATTTCTGAGCAGCGCACCATAGTACTGGGGTTATTCAGATAATTCGAGACTCTGAGTTTAATAAACAGTGTTGATACTGTGTCCAGACTATCATTGTTTCCTTGTTTCTTGGATGTGATCTACTCGGCTTTCCTTTATGACTGGTTGTGAGGATTGAGTGGAGTGAATTGCACGTTCAGTGTACCCTGTCATATCGCATGGTTAAGTCTTCCGCTGTGTTTATCTCTCTGTGTGCGGTGTAATACTCCTACCCTCTCCCCTTCCTTCTGTGTATGTATGGGCATACCTGGGAGTCTATGTGAGTGAGTGTTGGTCTTCAGACAACAGACAACCAGAATTATAACACGTGTCTCATGGGTGTGGTTCTTGGGTCCATGGGTTTTAAGTTTTGACAACCATGTGTGTCTGGGTATGTGGGCGGGTGGGTGGGTGGGTGGGTGCATTCGTGCGTGCGTGGGTGCTTGAGTGGGTGCGTGCATGCGCGCGCTCGTGTGTGTGTGTGTGTGTGTGTGTGTGTGTGTGTGTGTGTGTGTGTGTGTGTGTGTGTGTGTGAGTTGTGTCGGCTCCCATATTCCAACCGATGGGTGTACAGAAGCCCAGATGCATGTTGTCTCTGTGGCTTATGGGTCTGTGGTTTGGAACCAACAACATGCACACATGCATCGATGCTTGTGTGCCCTAACCCGTCATTTGTGTCATCATGTATTCCAATTGCAAACTCCTTGGTGTTCATTTTTGCCGTTTGGTGTTTATCAGGTATAAATAATTAACAGAATGAAATCCAGAAGCATCATTAACAATATTTGCTGAAACGCATCAGGTGTGTTTTGCTGGCCGCCTCGTTGGCTGCAGAGGGATCACTCGCTGCGTGTATACAACATGGTTCTTGGCGTATATGAAGGAAAGGGTTGGGCGCATATTAGTGACCACGTCAACTTTGCTCTTGGACGGTGAGTTAGAGTCATTACCATTGGCTTTGTCCACACTCTCTACCTCTTCTATCGAGGTCAGGTGTATTTAACCCATGGCTTTCACAGTGATTGACATCGTTGGACGGTTTGAATGAGAAATTCGATCTGTGGAACTTTAAGCTGTGCATTGTGCAATGTTACACCAGCCAAATGACTTTTAATAAAGAGGTCATTCCATATGCCTGCTCATAAACAGGTCACCAGTTTAGAGAAACAACAAACCAGTGGAGTTTGAAGTTTGAATTGGTCAACTGTTTTACCAGCAAGCATAAGGGCATGGGCTCAGTGCACCTCCACTAAAAAGCACACAGGCCTGTTTATAAATCGATGTGAAAAGGCCATTCCATATGCCTGCTCATAAACAGGTCACCAGTTTAGAGAAACAACAAACCAGTGGAGTTTGAAGTTTGAATTGGTCAACTATTTTACCAGCAAGCATAAGGGCATGGGCTCAGTGCACCTCCACTAAAAAGCACACAGGCCTGTTTATAAATCAATGTGGGGAGTGGGGGGGGAAGTGGGGGAAAGGGGTGGATGTAAGGCTGTGCAATATTTTTGATGGCGCTTAGACGGTTCTGATGTGGGCGAGAAAGACAGTTCTCATGTTTTTAGTCCAGTTCAGTTATCTACTGTGATAGAGAATTTTGCTCAGTACGTTTAGGGGCAGGCATGAAGTAACATAGCATTAAGACAAACTGGGCTTCACCATGTATGCGAAGTACGCGAATTACGTGTGTCCCTATGGTCGCCCACAACCCCGTTTCCATCCATAAAAATGTTTTTTTTTTTTGTTGTTGTTGCTAGATGTGGGCTGGGAGGGGGTGCCCACAACACGATGCAACCTCATTTGGCTGCACCAGACGGGAAAGATAGCTTGTATACATTCGTTATCAGGGTGTGCTATGTTTGCCACCCTGATAATGAATGCATACAAGCTATCTTTCCGGTCAGGTGCACTGGCAGCCGAAATGAGGGTGCATCGTGTTGGGGAAATCTGTCTTCCGG